TGATTGGCTAAGGAAGCTATGGTACATATATACAATGGAATATTACTCAGCCATAAGAAGAAATGAAATACTGTCATTTGCGACAGCATGGATGGACCTCGAGATAATCATGCTAAGCGAAATAAGCCAGACAGAAAAAGTTGAAAATCACATGATATCACTTATATGTGGGATATAAACCCAAAAGCAACAAATGAACAGGACAAACAAACAGAGACTCATGGACATGGACTATAGACTAGTGGTTACCAGAGTGTAGAGGGCGGAGGAGGAAGGAGGAGATAGAGTAAAGGGGGTCAAATATGTGGTGACAGAAAGAAATCTAACTATGAGAGGTGAACACACAGTGTAAATATATATATGTCTTACTGTTAAAGTGTACAGCTGAAACTTACTGGATTTCATCAACCAATGTCACCATAAAAATTAATTTAAAAAATGAAAAACATAATCAAAATATAGGAAGTGATAAATTTTTATCTACAGGTGAAATGAAGATAATACAAAAGTCAAGTAGGTTTACCCCAGTCTCCTTAATCTGAAATTGAAGATTTGAGACTTTGCTGTCTTGACTGCAGTCTTTAGAAATAAGAAAAGTTGGGCCTTAGAAGCAAAAGAGGAAACAAAAGGCTTCTATAACTTATGTTACAGAATGTGATTAACCAGACCGTTTGTAATTTGCTACTATCAAAAAGTTGGTTTCCATATGTATTATTTGGCATTTTCCTATGTTTCTGTCTTAGTTTGGATATAAAAACATTTTACAGTCACGCTCCCTAACAGAGGTATTCAAAATTTATTTTCTAGAAATAAGTCAAAGAACCCAATTTTATTTTCTAGGCATCCTTAAATCCTAGTGATACACCTCCTTCTATTGTAAATGAAGATTTTCTTCATGAGCTTAAAGAAACTAATATTTCATATTCACAAGAAGCAGATGATCGAGTATTTAGAGCTCATGGTAAGCAATTTTATCTAAGCGCTATTTATTTTTAATTTTTAAGTTTCCTATAATTTAAGATGTTTTGCCTTTTCTTTTTTAAACCACAAAACAGGTCACTGTCTTCATGAGATATTTTTGCTCAGGGAAGGGATATTTCAGCGAATTCCTGATATAGTTTTATGGCCAAGTAAGTTCTTTTTTTCTTTGTATCCTTAAATTATTGTTAAATTAAGTAAATTTAGTATTGGAAATATGTAATTTTTAACATATGAGTTGTAAAAAATATAGATAGCTGTATTTTTAAAGTTTGCTAAAGGTTATATAATTCTTGATCTGATTGTCCTAAACTGTTGGTTTTAAAGATTGACTTTGTTGTTGTTAATTAAGTCTTTATTTTAAATAAACAAACAAATATCATATTAAGAGGTCAGTAGAAATAAATATATTGAGAAATCAGTAGAAAAATGTATCTGGTTAATTTGAAAGCTTAATGAAATTATCAATAACATTATATTCAGATCATTAGTTAAAATAAACTTAATTAAAATAATTGATTACTAATAATAGTGATTTGTTAATCTTAGCTTACAGGCTAAAAAAACATGGTGTTCAGATGGCAAAACAAGTTATTTAATACGCATATTTTCTTTGATATAAATGATTAAATTTTGAGAATTTTATTCAGGGATTTGGCTTGAGTTAGAGGATGGACAATCTTTCTGCTATTTTACTCTGCTGATGCACTATATATATATAGTCTTTATACCCATTTCTTCTATCAGAAAATTTAAAGCAGAACAGGTATATTGTTCCTTACTGTTCATAATTACTTTTTTAAAAAGTTCCATTGGTTTTCTGACTTTTTCCTCTTCTGACTCTATAAAAAGAGTATATAGAGTATTTTATTTTTCAGAAAATTGGCTCATTCATGGACTCTCAGTTCTTAGATGAAATCCTAGTATCTGAGTATCGTACCTTAATACGGGGATAGGAGAGAGGTGACATACATAGGAGGAAATCCAAGAGCATATGTAGCTGAGATGAAATTATTTTCCTTATACTTGTGATGTATATTTTTTCTGTGTGCTTGGAATAGTGTGAAATGCCTTTTGTCTCTCTTAGTTTAGTATAGAAATTTAACAGTTCCTGAAAAAAGAAAACATATACTCAAATAGAAGAAATGCTTTTGTTTCGCCTGCCTATTTTTTAGTAGTTTTAGGCTACTTCTCTACGAAGATTTGAGGAAGGTTCATTCCATATTTTATTGGAAAAAATGAAAGCAAAATTAATCAATTTTCATTTCCCATAGGCCACCTAATAAACTATCCTTTGATATATTTTGAATAGAACTTTCTGCTGCTTTTGGGTATTTTCTTTGTGTGTCTGAATATTAAAATGCTAAGAGAATTACTATAATGGGAATATATCTTGCTTTAAATAGTCCAAATATTTTTTAAAATTCAGATTTTGGAAACATATGGAGTTAGTTGTTGCACAAAAGTTTCTTTATGCTGTAAAATCCTCTCACAACTTTGACCTTCCAATTTTTTCTTTTTCCATTCCAATGTCTAATTTAGGCCCTTATTGGCTCATAGCTATAATTTTGCAGTAGCTTTAAAGGTTCTCATGCCCCAAGTTTCTTGTCCCTCCAAGCCTCCCATACACTATTGACATGAATTTTTCTGAAGTATTCCCTTTGCTGTCTTATTCATACCTCAAGAAACTATATGAATAGTGTATTGGTGCCTAAATCAAGTTTATGATTTTATTCTGTTGAGTCTTCCAGTATGAAGACTTGGAAATAGTTTGTCTCCCAACAGGTTATCAATTCACTGAGGCCTTTATTTAACCTTAATGTAAATTTTTTATTGTTGATAAAGTTCAAGGTTTTTTTTTTTTGCATGAGGTCAAGTTTTGACACAATGTGGCAATTTGAGACAACATGGTATTCCATAGAGTAAAGGTGGCTGTCTCATCTTGCAGTTTGAATAGATATATACCATATATATTATACACACACACACACAGACACACACACACACATATGTGCTCATGCACACACACACATACACATTTCTAGGAAATCTATCATTGTGGATATCTTTAAGTCTGGCTGTAATAAATCTCATTTCTACATGTTGCTTTAATAGGATGTCTAAGGCTTATCTAAGAGTAAGAACTTGTAATTTATATAACTTTTCTGATTTAGAATAATCTTTAAAGCAAGATTCGTCACCAGACAGCTCGACTTTTCATTTAGTTTGTATAAGTAATTAGTGACTCATACAATATATGTTATATGCAGTAAGTATGCTTGTAAAAATAGTTTCCTTTCACAATAACATTTAAAAAATTACATCACATATTCATTTAGTATTTATGTATTATTTGCAGCGATTTAAATGCCAGAACTTTAAGTCTGTGAAAATATATGCTAGGTACTGTTCTAGTTTTTGCAGATAAGCAGTGAACAAAACAAAAAATCCCTGTTCTCAATTGCCATACAATTTAATTGGGAGAAGGGTGGAGACAAAACAATTAACAAGTAAATATATAATGTATTGAGTGGTGAGAAGTGCTATAAAGAAAAATAAGACACAGTAAGAAGACAGCAAAATAGGGTAGGTAGTGGGATGAGGGAGTGCTGTGGCAGATAACATGGTCAGGGATAGCTTCTGATTATGCAACAGTCTTAGAAATAGTTTTGTCTTGTTAAAGGTTTTTAACATACATCTTCAGGTATCTTATTTATTATTAAGGAACCTACTGGTATTTAATAAAAATTTTACCACAAAGAATAAACTTTATAAGCTTAATCTAAAACCTTAAAAATGGATTTTCATTAAAATTGGAATGATACAAATGACATATTCTTAGCCTTAAGCAAACCTGAGAAATGATAATTACAACTTTCATAGAACAGTGTTTTTATATTCACAAATGGATATTCTTTTGTATATTTTCCTTTGCATCTTTATTTCCTTTTCAGGCCCTTAGTAAGTAATACTCAATTATTCCATGGTTTCCTTATCTCATGTCTCTTTCTTCTTTATGCTATTGCATATTGCATATGACGATTGATCTTTCTAAATACTCCCTTTGCTGTGTTGTTCACCTCCTTAATGCCCTATTGCTAGTCAGCTTGAATCTTAGCACCTCTTGTTTGGTATTTAAAGTCTTCCTCAGTCAAGTTTTTGTTACTTATATAACTTTTACACTAACAAAGGTAGCCTTCAGTTATGTACAATAGTAAGGAATTCATATACGGTATATCATAATATTTTAAAAATTAGTTTAAAAAACAGAATAAAGAATCATCAATGGATACAAAAATCAGTGAAAGTATGATGAAAAACTTGATATCTCCCCACAAGATACTCATTAATTATAGTAATTGTAGAGTGGAGAAACCTAGCAGGTACCGTATAACCATCATGCACATCCAGATGTAACACACTGAGAAAGGCACATCACTTCTGTGGAATTGCTGCCAAAATGTATAACCTGAATTTAATCATGAGGAGACATCATACAAACTCAAATCAAGAGACATTCAATGAAATACCACTGTTCTTAAAAAATGTCAAGGTCATGAAATTCAAAGATAGACTGAGGAACTGTCTCAGATTAAAGAAGGCTGAAGAGACATGACAAGTAAATGCAGCGTGTGATTCCGGTCCAGAAAAGTGTACATTAGTGGAACAGTTGGCAAAATTTGAATAAGATCTGTAGGTTAGTTAATAGTATTATATCAGTGTCAATTGCTTGGTTTTAATAATTGAACCATAGTTATGTAAGATGTTAGTATTTGTGGCTGCTGGGTGATGGAAATTTTTGTACCATTTTTGCAACTATTTTGTAAGTACGAAATTATTTCAAAATGAAAAGTTAAAAAAGTAAATACTAAACAGTTGTTTTAATATAGCTATTTCATGTGTTTATGAGTGAATAATTGAAGGGAAAGTTTAGATGCTAAAGAACTTTTAGACATATTTTTCAAGGTTACCCAGATTTTATTCATGTTCCTGTGATTAATTTATTTTCCTTTTTTTTCCAACAGCATGTCATGATGATGTAGTTAAGATTGTGAATCTAGCATGCAAATATAACCTTTGTATCATACCAATTGGTGGTAGGTATTGTGCCTTTTGAATTTTAATAATATAAATTTGTTTTCTATTTAAAATATTTGTATTTTAAATATTTGTGCCATCCCACTGAAAACAAATATTCTATAATTATGAGAAGGTCATTCTGAAAAGTTGATTTATGCTGCTCCTTTCTGTTTGGAGTAGATCTAGCTAAACTGTTTGAGATGTGATGTACCCTTAATGCATGGCCTCTTTTCCATATGGATCCTCACTGAAGCCATGACTTTAATGCCTAAATAAGAATATGTTCTTATTTCAGTAATTACTTTCTAACCATTATCCTTGTGGAGAGAATATTTTTCAAAGGCTAAATATACCCAACATAAACCTTTGAGGAATGCAATACAGTGTAAATGATCTGATGACCAAATCAACAAAATTTTTTAATACTGGAAACTAACATTATTTTGCATTTTAAGACAAATTTGATCTTTCTTGATCTTTTATTAACCACATTGTTTTAACAACTTATATAAGCCAAAGGAAATTGCCTTCACTGACTGAATTGGCAGTGATGGAATGGAAATGGGACCCCAGCAATTCAGAAGCTCCAGATTCCTTCTTCAGCTGACACTTTCTGTTAAATTCATACAAAAAAGATACTACAGTGCAACTATTAATGAAATATTTTCCTGATTTCAAATGACCGTGACAAACAAATTGTGATTACTGAGCACAGGCATGTTCTTAACTAACAATTCATGGTCTCACCTTGTAAAATTAAGCTGAACCTCATAAATCAGCACCCCCTATAATTCTTAAGCTCGTATCAAGGTGACTTCCACATGTTTTCTGTTCAAAACTTATGGAAGTACCAGTTAGGAATTTATTCTGACATATGATGATGATACAAGTATGGTTAAGAACTAGGAACACTGTATTCTGTATTGGTTTCAAGAAATCATTTTTCCTTTGACAACAAATGTTAATGGAAAACAGGAAAACATTGTTTAAGTACATCTATGTATTATTTATTTTACATTAATATCACTTTCACTGAAGAACATACAAATTTGTTTTTGAATATCATATAATCTGGGCAGTTTTAACTTTTTTATGTTCTAATTGATTAAAGCCTTTTTGTATAAGGATATAAGATACTATTTTAAGTGATCAATGAATCTCATAATTATGGTAGAAGGGAGATAATGGTGTCTCTAGTTTTTATAGGATGGGTGTTTTTCTCTTTTAAGCTATCATTCTACAATAATCATTAGCTTAGAACTTTTCTAATCATGTTTTTGGAGTTTCACAAATTGCTAGGGGCTTCACTTGAGTGAAGGGGATGGAGCCATATCCCATTGCTTTCAGCTCCATAATAGTTCTTCATTTTGGCATGCAGCATGAAATAAAGGTGAGTTTGCTTTTAGTGTGTTAGCATTTACAAATTACATTTTACAAAGTAGAAATAGGTATTACTTTCCTAGCAGGCCTGTCTGTATGCTTTGTATTAGGGTTTTGCCCTAGATATGTAGCTAAAAATAAAATATTTGAACATAAAGTTGTTGTTTCCTATTTTGGCAGGAGGAACAAGTGTCTCATATGGGCTGATGTGTCCTGCAGATGAGACAAGAACAATTATTTCTTTGGACACTTCACAAATGGTATATGATCATTTAAGATATATTTGAAGATAGCTTTTGGTTTAAAAAAGTTTTTATGGCTCTGTCTTAGTTGTTGTGGAAAAAGAGTGTATTGTCCATTTTGTTTTTAATTAATTTTATCATATTTTATCTTTGTCTTTAGTCTCCAAAAGCTAAGCTCACTCTTACTATAAGGCACATATCTTGGATTCTACCAAATTGACATGTGAAATTGATGATTTAAGAAGCATGGATTGGAATATTGATATAATATATGACCCAATTTGTATTGTTAAAAAAGAAAACAAATCATATTAATTAAGGTTAATTTGAATCACCAAAACTTACTTGTTTCCCAGATTTTTACCAGTGCTGTTGCATTTTCACTTGTGGAAGAATAGAGGGGCTAGTTTTAATGATAGGATTATTTTTTGAAATTTTGGCTCTTTGAGGTCTAAGAGTTGTACACTGTGGCATGCTAAAGTTTTAATTTGGGTATGAACTTAACTTTCATATAGTCAACAGTATTCTTGGTTACATATTCCTCCATTACAATAAAAAATAATTTTTTGGTAACTTTGAAATTCTTTCAGACACCAAAGTAGAGCGAATAATATACTCATTCTCTAGATTAAATAATTATTAATATTTTGCCATATTGGTTCTTTCTTTTTTCTCTACTTTTTGTAAAGCAAATCTTGATATTATGCTACTTTACACCTAAATGTTTCTGTGTATCTCTTTTTAAAAGGACATTTTCTTACTGTCTTACTGTCTCTTTTTAAAAGGACATTAACTTTGCCAGGAGTGATAATGTCTCTTTTTAAAAGGACATTATCACTCCTGGCAAAGTTAAAAGTAAATCCTTATGTCATTTAATATCTTGTCCACATTCAGATTATCTAGCCATCTCAAAATTATCTTTATTTTATAGTTCATTTGTTCAAATGGGGATTCAGACAAGGCCCATGTTAGCTTTTGGTTGTTTCCCTACGTTTCATTTTATATGAAGCCCTGTTCTCCCTTTTAAATGCTACGGACTTGGAAAACTAGGCTATTTGTAGTGTAGATCATATCATATTTTGAATTTTTCTGTTGCTTCTTCTTGGTGCCATTTAACTCTTCTTCAAGGCTCTGTATGTGTCTAAACCTGAAGTTAGATATAAAATCTAGTTAGATTCTGTCATAGCTTTTAGTATTATTCTAAGCAGGAGTATCTCATAGATAATATGTTTTTCTATGTCACATCACATCAGGAGGTACGTAATAGCCTGGTTGTCCACTTTTAGTGTTGCTAAAATTGATAAGCAAGTTTAGGTAATAACAGCCTGATTATTCTACTATAAAATTACCCATCAACCTTTGTCCTTATCCAAGATTTTAAGAAAAGGCAGTTTTCTTTGATGATAGCTTAAAAGTAGCCTATTCTGGAATAGGATTTGGAATGTTTTTGAAATTCTGAGTCTTTACCTTACTATATACAGATTTACCTCTGAATCTGTTACTGAATGTGTAAAATGGAGACAGTAATACTGCAGAAGGTTATTGTGAAGATTAAATTTTTCCTCTTCCTCCCTACTCCTCCCCGCTACCATTGTCCATGTCCATGAGTCTCTGTTTGTTTGTCCTGTTCATGTTCACTCCTTTTAACATTCAACTCTTTCAAATATTATGATGGATATGTGGTCCTTATAACTGTCATTTACATTGAAGTCAGTAAGTTATATCTTGCATGACCGTGCACAGTGTACTTCTGATACAGTATGTACAACATATGACTAGAATTAGTTGTGTCAGTTTTCTACTTAAATACACATGAGCAATAGACTAGTGGTTACCAGAAGGAGGGAGGTGGGGGAAGGGGGAAGGTAGACCAGGTAAAAGGAGTCAAATATGTGGTGACAGAAAGAAATCTAACTATGGGAGGTGAACACACAGTGTAAACATATATGTGCCTTACTGTTAAAGTGTACAGCTGAAACTTATGGATTTTGTTAACCAATGTCACCATAATAAACGAATGAATGAATGGATGATAATACTAATGAATGAATGAATGATAATACTATTGGCCTTACAAGTTTTTGTTTTATTGTTAACTTTTGTGGGGTAATATATAGTGGATGTAATAGAGTAACCAATACATTTTCCTTAGGTTTCTCTGTGAGTGCCTATAAATGTGTTTTTTCTCTTTGTTTCCTTTAGTTTCTTTGTTCTTCCAAAAGCATGTTTGAAACCCTGGTAGATACAAGGCATATAATTAGCACAAGTATATAATTGCCTCAAAAATCAATCTGCTGATTCTTGTTTTTATTGTAGTTATTGTAGTATAAGGTACCATCAGATTACTAAATTCTTTTTATTTTATAATTTAAAACTTCCTTTCGTTTAGCTGCCATGAGACCAAAAGCCTGATTTTGCCATAATTATATTGAAATTACTATTATCTTATTTTGAGAGTACAGTTATAATGATAGTTTTATATAACATAGAACAATAAGTACATTCACAGACATCATCTTATTTAATGTTTATCATAGCCCTGTGAATTAAGCAGTGCAGTTATTTGTGTTCAAATGTGGAATATAGGCAGACTTATTTTTGTATTTATTGCCTTCCTTCCTTTTTATTATTAACTAGTTTTGTCTGTATTAGTTGTTGCCATGAAATTGAACATATCAAAATGCTAAGAAAGCTTCTCTGGGATCCAGAAGAAGATCCTATATATTATCTGGTTGCTCAACCAGATAATATAAGATTATCTGGTTGCTCAACCAGATAATATAAGATTCATATATGTATAAAATTAAGTCAAATAAGATATTAAAAACATTTTTTTTTACAGTCATGCATTTGGTAAGTTGAGCCAGATGATATTCAGTTTGTTCTTTTTGGCAGGAGGCCAGGTTGTGCTTTGTTTTCTAGCTGGCCTCTTTGATCCTATTTTGCATTAAAAGTAAAGCATTGATGCCATTTACTGTATTAAAATGTCTTTGCCAAGTGTCTTTTTCTAATCTCATGGCATCCCTTTTCTGATAGTCTTAAATTAGATATGATTACTGACTATCAACAGTAGTGCAGGTAGTATTTACAGAATGCCAGGAACTGTGTATGCTAAGCTTTTTATGTGTAGTATCTCACTTAACTTTTACAGCAATCCTGTAAGTAGGTATTACTATCCACATTTTACAAATGAGGAAACACTAAGCATAGTTAAATAATTTGCCTAATGTAAGAGGTAGAGTTTAATTCTAATTAATATTTGAATAAAGACAGGATCTATGTTTTAAAACAACTCTTGTGTAATATGCTCCCTTTGTTCCTATTTCTTTCATGTGGTATACTCAGAGACAAGTGTAGCTTTCTGGTGTGGGTATTCCTACTTGCTGAATTACTCTCTTGTCAGTTACTGCTTTGAGGTAGGAAGTTATATTTCCTGAGAAAATGTTAATAGATCATAGAGAAAACTTTTTTCTTCCTTTGCAACAGAATCGAATCCTCTGGGTTGATGAGAACAATCTGACAGCTCATGTAGAGGCTGGCATAACAGGACAAGAGTTGGAAAGACAGGTATGTTATTTTTTTAATATAGATTTTCAAAACTGCTATGTGTCTCATCTGAATGAAGGACCTTTCACAATACATTCACTGAATAAATTTGTTCAGTTTCTGTTGTGTGTCAAGCATTGAGCTAGATGCTGAGGGCACAGTAATGTATAAGACACCATTCCCTACCCTTGGATAGCTTGTGTTATATTATGACAAAGAGTTAGATAAATAGACATTTACGATTCAGCGAGAAGCCTAGGTAAAGGCTAAATGTGGAGTGTGTGACTCATCAAATGGGGTTAGGAGGAAAAGAGTTGGACAAAGAAAGTTTCTCAGAGAAGGCAGCATTTAAAATGAGACTTCAGGATAAGTAAGAATTAGCAAAAAAAGAGATGGGGTTGGGGAAAACAATCCAGTCAGAAAGCAGCATGTGCAGAGGCTTTAAAGGCAACTCTTGCTTTGGGGGGCCTGTCGATAGCTGAAGAAAGCTCAGGTCTAGTGTGTGTAGATGGGAGAACACATATTCTTGGTGTTTGTATATTTAGTGGGTGTACATAGAGTGGTGGTAAAGGATAAAGACGGGAAAACACAAAAGAGGTCAGGTTGTAAAGGGCCTTATATAAAGCCCATTTTAGAAGTTTGAACTTTACCTTTCTGCTTAGCTAGTTTGGATTATTGTGTGGAAGATGGATAGGGCATGTAAGAGTAGGTTAGAAGGATGCTGCAATAATTCAGGCAATTGCTGATAGTGAGTGACCTGAAATAAAGTAGTAAGAATGGAGCACAGTGGAACAAATTGGATGTAGAATTCTCAGAAGTTGATGATAAATTATATCAACTTGGTAAATGTTGATATTTGCTCTTTATTGAATTTTTCAGTGTATAATTTCATTAATAACTGGTCATCTCATATAGTTAGTGAAACTCATAGTTTTGGGGGGATCCTTATATACTTTCGTTGAGACCTTATATACTTTTTGGGGGATCCTAATGAATTTTTGGAAAATTTTAGATTTCTTTCATGGATTCTAAGCAGGTAATAATTAACGTATCGGTTCCTTCAACCTCTTCAAAAATGGTTGAGATGACTGTAACTCAGCTTTGGTAAATAAAAATTAGAAAGTCTAGTTTCTTAGTGATGTACTCACCACTTTATTCAACTTGGGTTACAGAGACCACCTCCCTCTTTTTAATAGGACATTGAGGGGTACATGACATGCTTGTTGATCTTATTTTTATTTTTTTCCTTCTTGGTAAAGAGTTGGATAAAGTTGATGTGCCAGTGAAAATTTCTAGATGAAAAACTTTGAAAAAAAGTATTAAAACTGTTCATTGTCTTTATTTTTTATTTAATGCAGTAAGATAGAGAGACCTGGAATAAAATGGAACATGTTTGTTGAGGCATTGTTAAAGGTCTTCAATAAGTCAAGGTTTTATATAAGTCAAGGTAATTAGATTTGTTAATTATTATAGTTTATAATGCACTTCAGTGGGCAGACTAATAATATTTAATGAAAAAAAATCTGTAAAAAGTCCTGTGTTAGCCTTCCATTATGCCTGAAGGAGGTATTATCAGCATAATAATTTTTTATAATAAAAAGTAGCCTTTTATATCTCCAATGTTATATTGTTTATTATAATATTTGATGTAGTATTTTAACCTTCCTGAGTTTTCTTTCTTTTTTTTCTTTTGAAAGGTTAGAATTAAAATTAAAATTAAAATTTTCCTAGACTAGGAACTTCTGATATTTTACCTACTAGTTCATTTCTCTAAATGCCAATATAGAACTTTATTTTTTGCCTCTAAGAGAAAATAATATAGTTTCTATATCTGTTTTGCTCAGTTCAAGTTCTTCCTCTTTTAAACTTCTGTGTCCTTCAGTTTCTGCTTCAGCTGATGTAACCAGCTTAAAACATCCTGCTTTTTCCTTCTAGAAGTTTTAAAATGACACAAATATAGTAGTTGGGTAGCACAGGTTTTAATCTTTTTAACTTGTTTATGACATTGAATTTAATATCTATAAAGGAGGTCACTAATATGTCAGTTATGGATTTTGGGAATTTGTTTCTAGGCTTACTAAATTTAAATCTTTGGCTACTTTATTTTATTAGTTAATAGTCTGGAGATATGTGATGACGTTTTTTCCTGCCTAGGGGCTCATTTCCCTGTGCCTTAGTTTCTTAATCTATGGAACAGAGATAATACTTCCTGTTTCATAAGGTTTTTTGTAGGATGGAGTAAGTCAATAATGTAAAGTACTTAGAACTTCTATCATTCCACTAATTTTTATTGAGCACTGTCTGCTTCATTCAAGCACAGTTGACTTGAAATATTCCTTCTATATGCTGAAGACTCCCAGATTAATATCATCATGTCAGGTTTCTTTCCTGAACTGTAGACTTACTATATCCAGATACCTAGTTGATGTCTCCACTTGCATATCTAATAGACATTTTAGACAAAATGTCCAAATAAATTCAAGATTTTAAAAATTTAATTTCCATTTTCCTCCACAGTTTGCTTATTCTGTAGACTTCTCATTCTCAGTTGATGGAAATGCAGTTCTTTGGGCAGCTTGAGCTAAAACCCTTGTAGTCATTTGTTTTTATTTTGTTGTTTTATAATAGTTTCATTGAGGTATAATTGTCATACAATAAATTACACTCATTTAAAATGTACAACTTGATAAATTCCAATAGATAAATACAACCATGAAACCGTCACTGCAATCAAGATAATGAACATATGCACCAACTCCAGAAGTTTCCTCTTGCCTGTTTATAATCCTCTCCAACCTACCTTTACCTTGCCCATGGCAATCACTGATCTGCTTTCTGTCACTGTAGATTTGTTTGAATGTCCTACAATTTTATTAAAATCAAATCATATACTTTTTTGCAGGGGGAGAGTGAGAGTATGGCTTCTTTCACTAAGCATAATTATTTTGAGATTCACACATATCGTTGCATATATCAATAGTTTATTCCTTTTTATTGCTCAGTAGTGTTCCATTGTGTAGATTGACCACAGTTCAACAAGTTTCCATTTGCTTGTTGAACACTTGGGTTATTTCCAATTTTTAGCTATTACAAATAAAGTTACTGTGAACATTCATGTGCAAGTCTTTGTATAGACATATACTTTAATTTCTCTTGGGTAAATGTCTAGAAATGAAATGGCTAAATCAAATAGTAAGTATATGTTTACCTTTTTGAAAAACTACCAAATGTTTCCCAGACTGATTACATCATTTTATAATCCCATTAGCACTGTGTAAGAGTTCCAGTTTCTCTACATCCTTTCCAATACTCGTTATTGTTAGTTTTTTAAATTTTAGTCATTCTAGTACATGTGTAATGGTATCTCACTGTGATTTTAATATTGCATTTCTCTAATGACTTCTGATGTTGAACATCTTTTCTAGGGCTATTTGCCATCCATGTATCTTCTTTGGTGAAGTGTCTGTTCATATTGTTTGCCCAAATTGTAAATTGTGTTGTTTATTTTCTTACTGAATTTCAAGAGTTTTTAAAAAATATTTTCTGGATATGTCCTTTTTCAGATATATGCGAATATTTTTTTTCCAGCCTGCAGCTTGTCTTTGCATTCTCAACAGAATCTTTGGAAGGCTACATGTTTTTAATTTTGATGAAGTCTAACATGTTATTTTTTAATTTTGTATATCGTTCTTCTGTTGTCATATCTAGAAACTTTTGCTTTACCTGGGTTATGAAAAAAAGATTTTCTCCCATTTAAGTTTTATAAGATTTAGTTTACATTCAAGTCGCTGATGAGTTTTTTAAATTGAATATATTTGACATAATTTGTAAATTTAAGGTGTACAATGTATTACTTTGGTATATTTATATATTGTAATACGATTGCCTTTGTAGCGATATTTGGGACCTCTATCACATTCCATAATTGCCCCTTTTTAGTAATTGGCATAATTAAGTTTTAGCCTTTTAGCAATTTTGATGATTATAATACAGTGTTATTTTCTATATTCATTACACTGTATGTTAGCTCTCCATGGCTTATTTACTACTTGTTGCAAGTTTACACCCTTAAACATCAGTCTTATCCCCCCCACCCCCCATCCCCTAGTAACCACCATTTTGCTCTGTTTCTTATGAGTTTTCTTTTTCTTCCTCCTCCCTTCCTCCCTTCTTCCCTTCCTCCCTTCCTCCCTTCCTTCCTTCCCTCCCTCCCTCCTTCCTTCCTTTCTTTCGAGTTTGACTTTTTTAGATTCCACATGTAAGTGATACCTTACAGTACATGTCTTTGTCTTACCTCATTTAGCGTATTATACTCAAGATTCATTCATGTTGCTACATATGGCAAGATTTCCTTTCTCATGAATGAATAATACTCCATTGTGTGTATATGCATGTATGTAATCACATCTTTTTTATCCATTCATTTATTGATGGGCATTTAGATTGTATTCACATGATGAGTTTTGAAGATTTTTGAGTTCATGTTTGTGTATGGTATGAGAGATGGATTAAAGGTTTTTCTTGTTTGCACATGAATATCCAGTTATTCCAGCATCATTTGTTGAGAAGTCTATCCTTCTTTTCATTGAGGGAGGGTAGTCTGTTGTTTATGTATATGTGCATCTAGTTCTATTTTGTTCCATTGATCAATGTTATCTGTCTTTATGCCAGTACCATCCTGTTTGGATTATTGTAGCTTTATTATAAAAGTTGTTTTGGCAGTTCTAGATTCTCTGCATTTCCCTGTGCAGTTTATAATGAACTTGTCAATTTCTGTTAAAAAAAAAAAAAAAAAGCCTGTTGGGATTGTGATTGGGATTACATTAACTCTGTACATCAATGTGCAGAAAACTGACATCATAACAATGTTGATTCTTCTGACCCAAACATGGAATATCTGTAGTTTTGAGGGGTATATAATTTCTCTCTGCAGTGTTTTTTGGATTCCAGTGTACAGATCTTTAATATTTTTTAAATCATATTTGTCTCTAAGTATTATATATATTTTTGGTGCTATAGTAAATGGTAAAACATTTTCAATTTCCGAGTGTTCTTCATTAATATATAGAAATACAATTGATTTTTTTTATAGAGATCTTATATCTATCTAGTAGCCTTTCTAAATTCACTAACTAGTTTAAAAGTTTTCTTGTAGCTCTCATCGGATTTTCTACATATATGATCATGACCTCTGAATAAAGACAGTTTTACTCCTTATTTTCCGATCTGTGTGCCTTTACTTTTCTCACCTGATTGCACTTGCTAGAACCTCTGGTGCAATGGTGAAAAAAAAGTGAAAGTGGACATCATTGTCTTGTTCCTAATTTAGGAGAGATGCATTCAGTCCTTTACCATTAATTATGATGTTAACTATAAGGGGTTTTTTTTTTGGTAGATGTCTTTTATTAAGTTGAAGAAGTTCCTTCTTAGTTTGCAGGGATCTTTTGTTGGCAATGAAAGTTGTCAAATGCTTTTTGTGTCTTAAGGTAGAAGATGGGGACATTTATTATTTTTCTTTTAGGTTTTCAATACTCTAAATTTAGGCTTTCACTACTGTAAATTTCCCCTAACTACTGCTTTAGTGGTATCCTAAAATTTTGATATGTCCATTCATTTTCATTTATTTCAAAATATTTTCTACTTTTGATTTTTTTTCTTTCACCCATGAGTATGTACAAATTATTATTTAGTTTCCAATGATTGGGGGATTTTTCCATACTTCTTTCTGTTATCGATTTCAATGTTAATTCTATTGTGTTTAGAAAAAATATGACTTGAATCTTTTCCAGTTAATTGATACTTCTTTTATGGCCCACAATATGGTCTATCTTGTAAATGTTCCATGTACAGTTGAAAAGAGTGTGTCTTCTGCTCTTGGTTAGAATCATCTGTCTATTAGGTCAAATTGATTTATAATGTTGTTCAGGCCTTTGATGTTTTTAATTATTTTCTGTTCTATCAGTTATTGAGAGAGGGAATTAAAACATCCAACTATCATTGTAGTTTTTGTGTTTTTTTTTTTTTGCAGTTTTATCAGTTTTTACTTCATATATTTTAAAGCTCTGTTATTAGGGGAATAAATGGTTAGGATTGTTATAACTTCTAAATTAGTGAACCATTTTGCCATTATGAAATGACCCTTTTTCTTTCTGATGATATTCTTTGGCCTGAAATCTACTTAATCTGATATTAAAATAGCCATTCCAGTTTTCTTTTGACTATTGTTAACATGGTATTTCTTTTTCTTTTTTTCATTCTTTTTACTTTTAGCTGATTTGTGTTTTTATATTTAAAGTGCTTTTCTTATAGAAGCATAAAATTGGGCCTTTTCCTTTTCATCTAGCCTGACAATCTCTACCTTTTAATTGGAGTGTTAGACCATTTACTTTAAATGTGGTTTATTGACGTAGTTTAAGTCTGTAATCTTGCCCCTTTTCCCCCTGTATTTTTTGTTGTTGTTCTTTTCTACTTTATTTTTTGTTGTTGTTCTTTTCTACTTTATTTATTTTTTTGGATTAAATATTTTTATACCATTTTATCTCCTTTATTAGCTGTAACTTTTTTTTTTATTATTTTAAGGGTTGTTTTAGGGTTTATAGTATACATCTTTAATTTAAAACAGTCTACCTTCAAGTTATAACACTTCAGAGTTTAGTATAAAGAACTTTACAATATTATACTTCCCTCTCTCCTTGCCTCCTTTGTACTATTATTGTCATATTCTACTTTTACATGTTGTAAAGCCTACAGTATATTATTTTTGTTGAAACAATTATCTTTTAAAGATATTTAAATAATAAATTTTTTTTTATATATTTACCCATCTAGTTATCCTTTCTGGTACCCTTAATTCCATCCAATGTTATTTACCTATTGCTTGAAGAACTTCTTTTTAATATATCTTTACTGTTGATGAATTCTTTCTACTTTCTTTGTCTGAAAATGTCTTTATTTTATCTTAAAAATAAAAACTTTTTTTAGGAGCAGTTTTAGGTTTACAATAAAAAGAGAGAGGGAGGTTCATAGATTTCCCATATGCCCCCTGCCCCCACACATGCATTATTAATATCACTTACCTGAATGGTAGATATTTTATCAAGAACCTACATTGACACATTGTAATTACCCAAAGTCCATAGTTTATCTTAGGGTTTGGACAAATGTATAATGAAATATCCATCATTATAATATCATACAGAGTATTTTCACTACCCAAAATTCTTCTGCCTGTTTATCCCTCTCCTCACCCATCCCTGGCAACCACTGATCTTTTTATTGTCTCCATAGTTTTTTACCTGTTCTAGAACATCACAAAGTTGGAATCACAGAGTATGTAGCCTTTTCAGATTGACTTCTTTCATTTAGTAATATGCATTTAAGGGGCCTCCATGTCTTTTCATGGCTCGATAGCTCATTTCTTTTTAGCACTGAATAATTTTTCATTGTCTGGATGTACCACAGTTTATTCATTCACCTACTGAAGGACATCTTGGTTGATTCTAAGTTTTGGCAATATATGAATAAAGTTGCTGTAAACATCTGTGTGCAGATTTTTATGTGAACATAAGTTTTCATCTCCTTTGAGTAAATACCAAGGTGCCCAGATGCTAGATTGTCTGTTAAGAGATGTCTAGTTTTATAAGAAACCACCAAACTGTCTTGCAAAGTGGCTGTACCATTTTGCATTTCCACCAGCAATGTATGAGAATTTCTATTGCTCCACATCCCCACCAGCATTTGATGTTGTCGGTGTTCTGATGTTTGACTATTCATATAAGTGTTTTGTGGTATCTTGTTTTAATTCACGTTTCCCTGATGACGTATGATGTGGAGCAGTGTTTCATATGATTTTTTGCTATCTTTGGTGAGGTATTTGTTTAGGTCTTTTGCCCATTTTTTAATTGAGTTGTTTTCTTATTGTTGGCTTTTAAGAGGTCTTTGTATATTTTGAGTAACAGTCGTTTATCAGATGTATCTTGTGCAAATATTTTCTCCCAGGCTATTCTCTGATCCTTTTGGATTATTTTTTTCTCTGGTTCTGGGTAATTTTCTCACTTGTCTGTACTTTTTAGCACTCTAGATGCACTTATAGAAATAGTTTTAAATGTCTGTTAAATGGTTTCTTCTGTATTGGTAATATGGAGATTTTGTCATGAGAATATTTGAAAACTCCCTGTGCAGTGCCTAGCACATCTAAGTTCTCTATGAATGCCTTTTCTTTTTCTTCTCCTAATTTTAGAAAATTTGAGTGACAGTAATCTTTTGGGAGCAAATAATATGAATATAGATTGGGAGTTAGGGAAGAAATATAAGTTAGACAATCTTTATTATAATCTGTTCAGTCATTTATTTAAGCTACCTACTTGTAGGTGGTTATTAACTTCTTAAAATTAAATAAATGTATTTAATATTTAGTGAAAAAAATCCTATTTTGTAACAATTGATGTATTTTTAAACCTTAGCAACAAAACTAGAAAAGGTAAATAATTTGCATTACTTGTGTTTAAGAGCTAACAAATTATATTTAACCTAACAGGCTCTTGATTTTTAGATTACAGCTTTCATACTGTATTTAAATACATAGATTCAAACATAGCTGACATATTCTACATCTATGCATGGCTTATTTGAAAAATTGAAGCAGTTGCTTAACTGGATGATTATCAAATGGTCAACACAGATTGATAGGCTTGAGTGCAGTAGACAGTGAGTATGCAGATGGTGGTGTCTGTACTGTTTGACATGAGATGGCTGAGTCTTTAAAATGATTTCAGTGGAATGGCTTTGGTGTTGTTGCAGTAAAGGGCATCCATTCAACCTCAGGTGCTGTGCAGATGGCAAAGCCAAGCTAATATAGAAAAATGAGAAACAAGTGACTATTTAATGTACAGGAATGCATGATCTGCATTCCAAATAAATGACAGTATTACATGCAGGAAACCTAGCCAGATGGCTGTACATTAAAACACATGACTCCTTGAGAGAATTAAGTACAGGCAATTTGCTTGGATTTTCTGCAGGCCTGCTGCATATTATATTAGGGTAGGGAGAACAAGAGATTAAGTACTTTATTTATTGAAAGTGTTTAGGTGAAATTGGCAGTTATTTAAGCATAATCTGATCTCCATAAGTATTTAAATGGTCTCTTTGTGGAAAAAAAAAAAGTAGGGAGGGTAGTTGGCTTTAAAAATAGAAGTATATAAAGAGTAAGATTGGTTAGTAGACCTGTAGAAAATTCAACTGTCTTTTGGACCACATTTTTCAGTTTTGTAAAGTTTTCCTCTAGACAAAAGCTTAAAAATTTTTTGACCAGTATTATAAAAGTATTTCTTTTTCTATGTAGGTTTTAATGAGTCCAAATTCTAGTGACATATGGGAATTTTAAAGTAGGAAGAGTTAATGTGTTGAGTGCTGTGTGAAATAGGACCATTTTCACTAGTAAAACATTACATTTTTGTTTTTCAGCTTAAAGAAAGTGGTTATTGTACAGGTCATGAACCAGATTCTCTGGAATTCAGCACTGTGGGAGGATGGGTATCTACTCGGGCATCAGGCATGAAGAAGAATATCTATGGCAATATCGAAGACCTGGTAAATTTTTTCTAGTTATTGTCTAATAATTGATTAGTATATAGAGATTATTATACAGTGATTAAAGCCTTTAAAAAATTGAGTAGAATGGTAAAGTCCCCCCAGAAGTATATCCCTTTTGATTATAGTAATGTCAGCTATGTATAATAGAAGCAGTAAAAGACACAACTGTGATCATTACTTAAGGGCGCTCCTTTTCAAATGACTAATGAACTTTATAGATGTTTCATAATATCTGACTTATAAAAGATATAAATATTATTTATAAGCCTCATGGAGCCTCAACCTTCAACTCCACCAAGATTTTAGTCAGTTTATTTAGGTGATCTTGTCATTGCTACATCTTTTGCTTTAGGAGATTTTAAATTTATTTTGCTGGAAAAAAAAATTTCTATATAGAATTAAAGAGCCCAAATGAAAATGTTCTAGTAAGCAGTAGTATAATATCTAATGTTTTATGTGCACACTATTTTGCTTTAGCTGATCCAGTGCCAGTGCTCTGGGAGTTATTGTGATATTAGTGTAACTATGGGCATTCTGGTTAGGAATTAGGTATCATTTGTTCCATTTGTAGCTTTTTCAGTGATTAGTTGTATGACTTTATGCTAATTGGTTCACCTTTCTAAATTTCAGTTTCCTCCTATGTAAAATAATGATAATCGCTGCATAGAATTATTATAAGAAGTGAAGAACATAAAATGAAAACTCTTAGCAGAGTCCCTGGTGTGTAGTATGTGCTTCATAAATGTTAGTTCCCTTATTATCAATATTTTGATAACAATTCAAAATAACTTTTTATTAGACCATTAAAGTCGATGTTCCTAACATTATTTTTAGAGCTATTTAGCTTTGCTTTTCAAATCTAACGTTCCAACATTTTCATCAGTATCTTTGTTGCTAGAAATATCAAATCTTTAATGAAAATTTTGGTTCTTTATAGTTAACACCCAGCAATTTAAGACTTTAAGTGTTTATGTTATTAATACTTTTTAAATGTTTATATTATCCTGGATAAAGATGTTTATACATTTTTAAGTCTTTGAATACTTACAGCCAAATTGCTCTTATAAGAATTTTATGCCAATTGACTTTCCCACTAGCACTATGAGAATCTTTATTTTATTGGACTCCATATTTTGTCTTTTAATTATTTATTTATTTAATTGCTAGTGAATGTAAACTTTTAAATGATCTCATTGGCAATTTTTATTTCTTATTTTGTAAATTTCTTATCGATGTCCTCTGCTTATTTTCTTTAACAGTGCATAAACTGTTTTTATTCATTTGTCCAAAATCCATTCTAAAAATGTATTAGATTTTTACCTAATCATTGCTGATTCAGATCTTAGGAACTGTTTTTGAGTGACCCCCTCTCTCAATATACTTACTTTCTCACCTGTGTGAGGCATATCTCACAGATACATCAAACACATGTCTCTCTCCCTCTCTTTAACTCAATCACTGGATCTCCCTCTTCATTCTAGTTTTGACTTGATCATAATTAATACTTTGTTTTTTTTCACTGTTTCCTACTAAATGGGCAGATTAGGTAAGTTGAAGGAAGAGATAAGGCAAGAAGAATTTTTTCTTAGAATTCTAAGCGTCTAGAACAGTGCTTGACATGAATAATACTTTTTCATAATATTGTTAAATAAATGAAAGAATGAACCTATTAAAATATGATCATTGTTTATTTTATCCATCCTTCAGTTTTTTGCCACATGAATAATCCTAGACTAAATTTGGTTTAAAGAATTGTGCTTTTCAGTTCTTAAGATGATAAATATACCTAAACCAATAAGAATCATAGCTGATTTGTTCCTCTTTGAAAGTTTATAAAATTTACTTTTAGTCTAAGAATTGCTAAAAGATATTAGAATTCCGAAGGGCATCACCATTTATCACTTACCCCAGTATTTAAAAAGTAGTGTTTTATATAAATATATATGGATGTGTGTGTACACACACACACACAACATTTACTAACAAATGTGTAGAATTTATATCGTGCATTGTATTAAACAGGTGGTTCATATAAAAATGGTAACACCTAGAGGTATAATAGAAAAAAGCTGTCAAGGACCTCGTATGTCAACAGGCCCTGATATTCATCACTTCATCATGGGATCTGAAGGTAAATATAACTGCAAATTTATTATGAAAAAATACAGCTTAGTGACTCAGTTTTGTGAAAATCTATGATGTTGTGGTATCAGATCTTTGAAAGAAAGACACATTTTATATATTTAAGGAATGGTGATTTTTAAAAAGTTTTATTACTTTAATTTAGTACTTCATTAAGTTTTTATTATAGGAACATCTTATTAAACTTCCTCTTACATTTTGCTTTTTTATAGTTTTAGAGACAGCTTGGTCTTTTTGGTTTTATTTGATTTTTCTTTTAGAGTTTTTAATCAATAATATTAAGAAAAGTACTTGTTAGGGTTTAAAATGGTTTGCTTTAGCATATTATAATATCCTTTTAATCTTGTCTGAATAATAGGGAGAAAGGACTGATAAAGTATTTTTTTTTGTCTTGTCTTTCTACAATTATGTCTTTTGTTATTGCTATTTGATTATTTTAAGAAATAGAATTTAAGATTCTGTTATTCACATATCTTTTAAAACTTGTTGGTCTTTTATTTTTTTATTACTTAAGTAATATCCTTTACTTGGGCTACTTGAAGTGTAGTTCTCTATTTTATCCAACACATTTAATTCCTATACCAACCTGGAAAAAAACTAACCTTCTAACCAACTAACTGTTATGTAAACACTATAAATTGTATGGTTAAGATGATCATGGGTTTATTTTTTAATTCATATAATGGTAGAAAGGATTACTCCTTAAATTCAAAGAAATAAGATAAAACAAGTGTTTCTGAATTAGCAGAGGAATTTGTTACTAACCTCAGAAGGTGGTACAAACTGAAGAAAATATTTTGGAAACATTTAGCTGTATGCATAGATAAAAAAACAGCCATATAATAAACTAGGATGTTGGGGCATAAATTCTAATCTTTGACACTAACATCAAGGAGGGAAAAAGTAACAAGCTACGTCTCTTAGAAGTCAACTACTGAGTTGATAACCAGTGGGATAGCTTAGTGACAAACCTTTGTCAAGATAATCACCCCATTATACTCTCTTCCTTTTCTGATCAGTATACTCTTCTATGGAAAAACAGAAAAGTTTTAATGAGAAAAATATAAAATGTTAAGTTCCTTCAAATAATATAGTTCTCTAATAAATATTCTGGAACTTCTTGTACTGTTACATCATCTAAAAGTTAAATAAAAGAATATAACTTTTTTGCTATCACATATCAGGTTAACAATTAGATATTAAAGCTGATAATTATTAATTATACTATAGATTTATATGTTGCTGGAGTCAACTCTATAAATATAAAATATCTTTTCAAGTAACATCAACACTTGAAACTATATGATTTTATTAACCAATGTCAGCCCAATAAATTTAATTTTAAAAAGTAACCACATCAAACATTTTTTTTATCTCATCAATTAGTATTTGGAAAATTCTCTTTGCTAGGTACTGTGCTGGCACACTCAGGACACAGGTAATAATAGACCATTATAATACAGTATGATAAATTCTCTGATAGAAATAAACACAGGAAAAAATATAGACAAAGGTCACATTAACGGGTACTTAAGACGTCTTCACAGAGAGGCCATGCCTGAAGTGGTCCATGAAAGTTGATAAAAAGAAAATAATTCCTGACAGATTTGAGGGAATAAGGTGGGGAGGGAGTTGTTCTACAGAGAGAACTGCATGTGGGCAGGCTTGGAAGTGAGAAAGAGCCAGTTGTTTAATATAATGGGAACATAAGATTTAATTGTAGGGTGAAGTGGGCAGCAGGTCTAGGGGCAGAATGGCAATGGTTATAGGGCGGTTGGAGAGATAATATGGTCTTTTATGCCTTTTTAAATAGTTTGAATGTTATCTAAAAGACTAGACTACCTTCCTCAATAGTAAATTAGTGAATAAATTTTAGGAAGGCAAAGTCGTTATAATGATAAAGTAAACAAAGAGATATGATTTATAAAAAATATATTCTAGGATAGATTACTGTATTTAAATGAGCTCTTATTATAAATACACATGCAGAATGCCATAATTTAAGAGCATGAACCATGAAATCTGTCAGATCTGGATTTCAGTCCTGGTTTCACCACTTAAATTTCTGTGACTTTGTGAAAATTAGGTAATTTTCTATGCCCAATGTCCTCAGCTATAAAATGTGAATAATAAAAGTATCCATCTTTATAAGCTTTTTGTGAGGATTATTTGAGATTCTGCTAAGCAGTTTATAAGCATTTAGTAAGTGCTCAGCAAATATTAAATTTATCACTATTGTGACTATTTATTATTTTGGCATTAATGATCTTTATAAGTGTATTTGTGATTTTCTAATCCCTATTTCTGTATGTATGTGGATATAGAGTCATCTTAATATAAGCCGGAGGACGGCATGTTCAGAAAAGTAATTTCTGTAAAATCATATTCTTTTATAAAATATTTTATCTTCTATTTTGAACTATCTAAATAACCTTCTCTGCCTTAAATGAGAACCATAAACTTTTCCTTGAGCTTTAGAAATATTTTGCTATAATTAAATCATCTGAGGACAATCTCGAATGCATCATCATTAAAAAGCCTATTTTCCCTACTAGGTTCCACATGTGACTAACCACATTAAGTTTAATGTTTTTGTCTTTTTGTTTTATGACTTTTTCATAATAATTTTTTTCAACAAGCAGCTTCTCATTTTAAGTGCTATAACATGATCAGCATAATAAAATTATAATAAATATTCAAATCATTTGAAATGCTTTGCATTCTTTTCCTATGTGTGGAATTTACTAGTAACTTATAATGATTCGTTCTTATTAGAAAATTGGTTAAAAGTACATTTCTTAATCCATGATCCACCCTTTAGCCTTTGCTCTAGAATGAAAAAATGAAATGCTTGCTATCAGGTCTTTTGTGTGGTTTTACTAATCATCTTTGGTTAAATAAATCTCATCCTTTACTAGATTCCTCAGGAAAGGCACGTTTGTATATCCCATGAGTTCTGAAATGTTCTAAACTGGGTGTTTTTGTGACCCGATACTTGCAGGACAGCTTGAGTGGATATAGTATCCTTGGGTCACACTTTACTTCCTTGTGTTTTGAAAATGCTGCTCCACTGTTGGTTTGATTTTATATGTTGTTTTAAAGAAATCTGATGCCTCTCTCCTGCCTTTGTAGTTTGTTTCCTCCTTTGCCTAGAGGCCTAGAGGAATTTTTTTTCTTTATTGTTAAAGTTTATTGCTTTTACATCTCAGAGTTTATTGTATACTGAGTCATTTGGCTCTGGTACCCAGTGGACCATGTATATTCAGATTTTCTTTTATTTGTGGATTTTTTGAGGGATTGTAGTATTAAATATTAGGGATTTTTTTTCCCTCATTGTTTTAATTTTTCTTCTTCAGGGACATCGTGTGTGTGTGTGTGTGTGTGTGTGTGTGTGTGTGTGTGTGTGTGTGTGTATGTATACGTATACATATATATATGATTTCCTTTACTTGTTTTCCATTTCAACCACTATTTCTCTGACCTTTTTTCTCTTTTTTTTTTTTCATTTTTATTCTTTTGGTTATTTTCCTGCATTTCTTCAGTGTCCTTTATTTAAAGTTTTCATTTGACTCTATTCTCTGTTCTCCTTTGGATACCATATAACTTAGCCTTCTTTTTTTATATATACATATGTTTTTGATGTTGTTGCTGCTGCTGCTGCCGTTCTATTTCTTACCTTAGTTTAGTCATCTCTTATTTCATTTTTTTCTTGTTTTTTGTCCATTTGTGTTTTTAGTGTTTATATTTCTGATTCAGGCATTTTTTCATATCTCCAAATACTTGTTTTACAATATTTAATTCAGTGTGAAATGCATTACAGTTTTCTTTAGGATCATGATTGGGGATTACTTTTCTCTTACAGAAAAGTTTTTATATTTTCCGACTTTTTGCAGTAGTTTTTTATGGATTTGGTCTGTTTTTTTTTCTGTTCCTGTTTATTACTTGGAAAGGGTTCCTAGTTTGAGAGTGTTCTTTGTTTTTGTCTGTGCAAATGCCAAGTCCTCCGCTACTCTCTACTTTTTCTTATGGAATCTTTTAAGCCTCTCCTTACTCAGTTTCTGCCCTTACAAGCCTACAGCAGATGGAGGGCTATAGAAGGTCTATTGGAATTTTTTCTTCTTATCTCTACTTACATGTAATTTGAAGATCATAGTGTTTTTTGTCTCCTAGTAATACCGAAAGTATAGGTCCTGTGTGATTTTGTTTTCCGTATTGATTTTTATGGCTTTTTAGGGGGAATAGTAGAAGGAGAAGAAAAATTCAGAATCAAATGACCGCCATTCTTCTCAGTCCTGAAGGCACCTGAAAGTATATTTTTAAATTATGAAATATTTCAAGCAAATACTTGCACTTTGAATAGCAATTGAAGCTTTTAATTTTCTTGAGAGCAAACATTATATGTGAAAATTATAAAACAGAAAATTTTTAAGTTTATTATGACAAATTTTTATTAAAACAGAAAGTGAATGACATATATTAGCCTTTATGATGGCACATTGCCATGGATTTACTTGTAAAAAATTACCTGAAGTGGATATAAAATATGGGTATAATGTGCATATAATGAAATGATAAGTAATCTAAGTTTTATATCACTCCACGAACATAATATACTCAGGAAAAAAGAATCAATAAATATAATAAAACCCAACACAAATGAGCCTTTGATGAAGTGAATTTAGATGTATCCATTTGTAATTAGCTTAATTTGAATATAAGTCCTAATGGAAGCTGCCATCTGTCAATCTGCATTTGGGACCTGGATGAATTTTGCTTTCACAATGGCACCTCCCTACAGAACTCATAGCTGGATAGTTGCACAACCTTGCTTTGGTCATTTCATTAACCTTGCAATAATGCAAAATATCATTTTACTAATTTTTTTTTTTAACCTCACTTATAGTATTATGCTGAGTTTACTACTTTAAAGTGCCTACTGTACAAATGAGGCAATATGGGTATACAGGAATTTAAGGCATGGTCACTTCT